CTACACACCCAATAAGTAATTTTGTTTCATATGATAAATTATCAACCAAGTACAAGTCTTTTTCCCTTTCACTCTCTGAAGTACAGGTTCCCAGAACAATTCAGGAGGCAACATCAAAAAGAGAATGGGCTGATGCAGTTAACGAATAAATCAATGCTCTTCAAGAAAACGAAACCTAGGAATACACAAGTCTCCTACCAGGAAAAAGAACTGTTGGGTGTAAATGGGTATTCACTATGAAATACAATTCATAGGGAATCATAAACAAATACAAGGCCAGGCTGGTCACCAAAGGTTTCACATGGTCTTACGGTATCGATTATGCAAAGACATTTGCACCCATGGCAAAATTGAACTCCATCCGAGTGTTACTTTCATTTGCTGCTAATCTTCATTGGTTGTTACATCAACTTGATGTGAAAAATGTGTTCTTAAATGGAGAACTGGAAGAAGAAGAAGTGTACATTGGCGTCCCACCGGGCCTCGAATCTTAAGAAAATAAAGGAATGGTGTGTAAACTTAAGAAGTCCTTGTATGGGTTGAAACAATCACCCCGAGCCTGGTTTGAACGACTGACATGAGTGGTTAAAAATTATGGTTTTACTCAGGAACAAACGGATCATACAATGTTTACTAAACACTCAAATAATGGATAAGTGGCTATCATGATTGTCTATGTCGATGACATCGTCATAACCGATGACTACAAAAAGCAGATTGATGAACTGAAACAAGTCTTGGGTGAAGAATTCAAAATCAAACATCTTGGTTAACTAAAATATTTTCTTGGTATGGAAATCGCACGGTCTATGAAGGGTATCTCAGTTACACAAAGGAAGTATACTCTAGATATCTTAAAGGAAACGGGGATGTTAGGATGCAAACCAACAAGCATACATTTGGAACCAGGGAACAAATTTTGAACAGGAGATGGGGATGAGATGGATGGCAAAGGAAGGTATCAAAGATTAGTTGGAAAACTAATTTACCTTGCTCATATGAGACCTGATATTGGGTTTGTAGTAGGTATGGTGAGCAGGTTCATGAATGCTCCAAAAATACAACATTTGGAAGCTGTTTTCCAAATACTGTGTTATCTAAAAAGAAGTCCAAGAGCTGGACTGTTTTTCAAAAAGAATGTTGATTGAGAAGTCAAAGTATTTACTGATGCAGATTAGGGACGATCTGGTGTAGATGGTCGATCTACAACCAAGACTTTACGTAATAAGGTGGTGAATTTGGTGAAGGTGCAATGGAAGCACCGAAAGGGCTCTCAGTGGACATGGGAGCCAGAAGATGAGATGAGGCAGCACTACCCAGACTCTTTTGCAGTAGCGGACTTCGAGGATGAAGTCGGATTCAAATGGGGGGATTCGTAATGCCAGTTTCAAGGTATTTACATTTTTGGCCTTGTTTTTAATAATGTTGTATTTTTGGTCCCAAACTCCAAGTGTTGGGGAGGGAACACAAGGCGTTGGTATGTGGACGCCAGGCATTCACACGTAGAAGGCAAACCCCAATTTTTAGGGTTTGCACCCTATTTAAAGGTCATTATAGCCTCAAGACCCTTCTTAACTCCAGCTTCCAGCTCTCTTATCCCTCATTTCGAAACCCTAAGTGTGTGTGTGTGTGAGTGTTTTGAAGCCTGGAGTATCATTTTGGTGTTATTTTAGTGTTCTTGGTGAAGAAGGAAGACCATTGGAGTGGTGGTGTTACTCTCTAGATTTTGGATATAGACTTCTTGTATCTTAGAGCATCTTCTGGAGGTATAAACTTCATATCTTAATGACTTCTTTGTTAGATCTTGACTAAGCTTAGTTTTATGTCCTTTTTGGTCCGAAGATCTTGACCTTTGTGAGTTTGGTGTACTCCAGAGTTTTGGGCTGTTCTTTCAAGCATTTTAGAGGGTTTAGAATCATAAAAATGCGAGCTTGGACCTTGATACTCTTCCATGCAAGAGTTTTGGAACTTTTCACTCGGGCATAGTGGAAATCCACTCGAGCCGAGTGGATTTGGCTGTTTGAAAATTTAAAGATTTCTAACTTCTTCGTTAAGAGTCTGTTTGACCTAATTTCAATTGCAGTAGTTAAAATGGTTGAAAAATGATGTTTAGAAGAGTTTATAAGTTTTCTAACCCTCAAGGGTATTTTGATCATTTTTTTTACTTTCACTTACATGTTATAGATGTGATGTTTAGAGAGTGTTTCTCTAAGAAAAGGAACTAGAATATGGCTATATAATCTTCTTTTGATTAAAGTGAGTACGTGTTGGCATTTTCCCACTTTGGGGTACATGGAAAAATGATTTTATGATAATGAAATATCAATGTTTTGATATATGAAACATCTTGAAATGAATGTGTTAAATACTTTTTGAATGGAATGTTTTGAAAGAACGTCTTGCAAGCAAGAATGTTTTGAAAGCAAATAACTTTTTGAAAGAACGAATGTTTGATGATGTGTTTGAAATGTTTTGAAATATAGATGCTTTACTTTTGAAACGTGTATTTTGATACTAACGTATGAAATATATAAAGCATGGAAAGTAACGATAAAAAATGAAAAGTAATGACAAGAATTGGAAAGTAATGACAAAAAAATATTGATGGAGCCATGATGTCCCCGTAACGGGATATAAAGGAATCTATCAGGGTGGTGCCTCCCCTTCGTGAGATAGATGTACTAATGGAAATGATGTATTGGTCGGCTGATTTTGTTCTTTCCACTTTGGTATAGACGTGGGGGTATTGCTAAATCCTAAGTACAAAATGGCAACGGTTCAATACCGAAATTAGCCCTTAATGAAAGAATGGAATGGAGTGTGAAAAGAAATGTCTTTGGAATTATGTTAAGTCTAATGAAATGTTTTAATATGAAATGGAATTTGGAAAATGTCTATTTGAAATATGTTTGCATAATGAAATGTTTTTGATGAAAATGTGATAAATGTTTTGGGTCACAAACCTGCGTAGCTCACGAGAAATTATTGTCTTACATATCTCTTTTTAATGTCATGTATCTTAGGTTATACGCAATGATAGAGTGTTGATTGATAGAAGATAGATGATGTGTCATCATAGATGGAGTGGAACTTGTTGAGTTCGTTAATTTTGGTATCGATGTAATTCATATTGCTTGCAATAGTTGTATTGATGTTTAATGGTAACACTTGTTTTATATGTAAATGTTTTTATGGGACCAAGTTTTATTAAATGCGGGTTAATCCGGAAAAGATTTTATAACCATAGCTTTCAAAGAGTTTGAAAAACATTTAGAAAAACAATAGGGTGTTACAAAGACAAAGGGGTAAATGGTTACCCTTATGCCAAGTCATTTATTATGCTACGCGTAGGATCTTGACTGTGTCAGTTTAGGTTTTAAAGGAGATGTGTCGAACAAACTGCTTACTTTTTCCTTTCTCATTTTCCTTCATCAGGAAACCCTTTTCTCCAGTTTCTTTCTTCTACACTTGAAAATGGCAATATACACCATCGTAGATCTGTACTTCCAAGGTATCTTTAGCAGGTACCTAATGGTATACATAATAAGCTGGTTAACATTGATTTCATCGGCATGGATAAGGATGAGTGTTTTGCGTTCAGTTACAGATTCATAGATGAGAAATGTGATAAGCTTTATAATTTTCTTTTTGATATTTAATTTTCAGAAGATTTGAAGTTAATTCAAATTAACATTGACTATGCCGAATTTGTAGGCATTGTGTATGAAAATGGTGTTGATATCCGTATAGACCATTTCAGTGCTACTAACATGCAGAAACGATCGATAGAAGACAAAGCTGAAGTAGTTAATGATATTCGATCGAAAAAAAAACACAATGATACTACAAACGAAAAAATAACACAAAGATAGTCCGAACGAAAAAAAAATAACACGTGGATAATTCGAACGAAAAAAATTACTCAGTAATTGTTTGAACGAACAAAAAGACAAAAAACAACAAAATAACAAAAACAAAAAAAAACAAAAAACAAAAACAAAAAATAAAAAATAAAAAACAAAAACAACAAAAAACAAAAACAAAAATGACAAAAAAAAAATCAAATTAAACAACATAAACCAAAAGCCATTCCAACAGGGGAAGCAATTTGGGGAGTGAATGAAGAATTGTTCTTGGGTATATTTGAATTTTTTTAAAATACCTCTTAAAAATGCTCGAAAAATAAGATAATTTTGTGGCGCCAAACACAATCTTAAATTTGTGTTATCGAACAAAGGTTTTTTCTTTAATTTAAGTTTTTTATTAAAAACCGAAAAACAAACACATATAAACACTCAAGATATTAGGTTTTCTTTAAAACTATTTTTTTTTCTAAGTCAGAGTGCACCACATCTTTAAGTGGATAAAGTTTGAACTTTTTACAAAATCACTCGTTCCATTAACCCGAATATGGGTTGTAGTCGGATAGTTCTCTGTCGTTCTAATTTATATTTTTTAATAAATGAAACCTAAAAATGACACGTGTCAGTTTTTTAGAATGTCTCTTTGACACGTGACATTTTTGTATGATTTTTATTATTTCCTTTTTTTTTGCAACAAATCCAATTCAATTCAAATTTTGAAAATACAAAATCATATCCTAATAACATTATTATGTTTATTTTGTTTAACAAATTAATTCATAATTACTTACCATCAACAAGATCTTGGTTTTTTTGACATTTATTATTTTTTTATCTATATAAAAATTTTAGATATACCGACTGTGGTTTCCACGGGTTATAACCTAGTTTAACAATCATTAAAATCAAATCTATGATCATGAATTGGTCCCAGAGACGAGGGTTCTTTCTTCAATTCACCCGTTCTAGCTAAGCAACCAAGTCCAAGTTTGACTTAGAGAAATTGTCAACGGTCAAATTTCTTGTTCTTATTTCACTTGCTAAAAAGTTAACACAAAATCTCACCTTCCCAGAAACCAACAAACCCCGCAATTTCAAATCATTTAAAAGCAAAATCCCAAAACAGAATGCACATATCTCTCTTTGTTTTACTAGGTCTCTGACTATTTTGTTGATCATATCAAGACTTTTCTGTTTTACACAAGTAAATACAAAAAATAACAACCATGAATTCTTTCGGTGGAAGATTAAACACAAGATTTTATTTTGACAATTCTTCAAGAAGTCTTGATTCAAATGACAACAAGAACGAAGAACGGAAGTGGGATTTGTTTGAGTTCAAAAACGGAGTTGAAAGTCCAAAGCAGTCTTTTATTACACCGTTTTATACTTCTTCTTTCACCTCTACAAACCCAAATCAGTTCTTGGATCCTCCTTTCTTCTCCTTCAATTCCAATGTAAGTTTTCCTTTAATAAAGAAAGTATTGATCTTTGATGTGATTGGGTTAATGGGTACTTTCTGTTTTTGGTTATTGTCGCAGATTATTTCATCTTCAGGGAGTTATTCTGATTTTCATTTCAAGGAGGAAAAAGCAAATGATACTAATTTAAATTTTCAATCTCAAATATGGCCTACCTCATCTTCCATTTCCGGAAACAAGAAGGTAAGTGTGTAATTTGGCTTTCTTTATATTTTTTATAGCAACATTGTCAACGGTTGTAAATTGAGTTTTTAATATGTATATTGGCATGTTGACTTTTTTGGTCAATTGTTGTATTCTTTTTCAGTTTATCTACTTAGAATTGTGCAATGTTAATAGAATCAGGTTTCAGAGGTGTTGATGTTTTGTTGCCTTTTTGTTTTGAAGCAGGAAGAATCTACGAAGAGTCAAGCTCTGGATTGGAATGTTGAAAGTCAACAGAAACCAATTGACTTCTCGATAGAAATCAGCAAAACTGAACCGAAATCCATACAGTCACCTCAAAGCCATAGTAATTTTAACTCAATTCAAGCTACTAATGAGCAAAGCCGATATCAAGATGGTTACAATTGGAGAAAATATGGTCAAAAACTAATCAAAAGAAGCAATAATCCTCAAAGTTATTATAAGTGTACTTATCCTAATTGTCCAACGAAGAAGAAAGTAGAGAAGGACTTGAATGGGATTATCACCAAGATCATTTACAAAGAAAAACATAATCATACAATGCCTACAAACTTTCAGAAATCTTCCTCAAACTCGTTTAACAACACGATATTTGAGCATTCAAACCGTTTCCAGCCCTATTCTGAATGTTCCTTCATAGAACACGAGCAAGAGCAAGGATCTTTGATTTGCGAATCGAGAATTGATCACGAAAATGAGCCCGAGGCTAAGAGATGGTAAGGTTTCTTTTATTTACATATATATCAGTTTCACTTGCATGTTATGAAAATCCATAAATAAAAAGATAAAATAAAGTACAAGTTCAAGTTTTCAAATCATTTCCTTACTCCAAAGATATTGTGATATATCTCTCTTAGGCTGAAGGGTGGGGTGCGGTTTCAGCTGATGTGGCACTGAAACACCGCCCCCTTTATGCGGTTTTGGAAGTGCAGTTTGGGAGTGTGACAAAAATTGGGGGTGCTCTCTTTCTCTCTCTCTCTCTTCCTCTATCTCTCTATCTCTCTCTTCTTTCTCTCTCTCTTCCCTAACTCTCCACCCCTTGGGTGTTGTAAAAAAATGCGGTAAAAGGAGGGAGTGTGGCACCACACTCCAGTCTTACATGTTGACAATGTGATTGGTTGGTGAGACCATTAACGTAGCTTATATTTGTAGGCTATGTTACTCAGAAGATACCTATAACATTTTATTTGAAGGCCCTATTAATATTATTAATATGATGTGACTGGGAAATTAATATTTAAATGGATATGAGAGAGAAAATGTAAATGTTATTTGAAGGCTTTATTGTTATGATGTGATGGGAAATTAATATTTAAATGAGAATGAAAGAGAAAATGTAAATGAGACATACCGAATAAATAACAATTAAGAAAACCGAGTCACATATATGATATGCTTCCTTTTCTTTTGCAGGAAATTAGATGAGGTTGAGAGTGAAGCGATCTCTTCTGGTTTGAGTAAAACCCTTGAAGAACCAAGACTAGTTGTTGAAACCAAAGTGACATTGATATACTTGATGATGGATACAAATGGAGAAAATACGGGCAAAAAGTAGTTAAAGGAAATATGAATCCAAGAAGCTACTACAAATGCACATACGTAGGGTGTCGAGTACGAAAGCTCGTCGAACGAGCCTCGCATGATTTTCAGTCCGTGATCACGACCTATGAAGCCAGGCATAACCATAGCGCGCCTATGCCACGTCGTGGTGTCAATTACGCCATCAACCAAGCATCCACATCTACCACAACCACAACTAGTAACAATTGTGGGGTCGTGATATCTAGGCCTCTACCAAACTACACAAATAACTTTAATGGTAGGAAGGGTTTCACCGGTAGTCAAACTCATATTCTACAAGCATTAGAGAACTCGACAAATTATAGTTATTCTGAAAAATTCGTATCTGAATCCAGCACCGGAGTGTTAGTGTCAACTACTAAGAAAGAACCCGAAATTGACTTCATCTTTAACTCGTTTTTAGACTAAAATCATGATTATGTTTGTACCTATTGTACTATACTCTAGAAAAGGTCTATATATGTTTGTTTAAACCGTTAGAATGTGAAAATCCATAAGTAGGCTTCAAATATAGACATCATTTTCCTTGCTTGTTGATATATTGTGATTTACTTTTACATGTTACTGGTGGGACGCACGTGATGACTTTACCACTTTTTTTGCGTTTTCATGGCTTTTTCGATGACATGTTGATTTACAATGACAACCTAGATAAGCACTCATGAATTATCAAAACTAATGCTATCGACTAGTAGAATTTTGGGCATTAGCAACGGTCGAAGTCATATGGTAATTTGTATAATATCAATCGGCAGCAGAATAGCAACGAAATTTGCCCATAAAAATGAATGTCTCACTAGTTGACGTTCTTTTTCTTAAGTTTGAATTTTACATGTGTATAGTTCCACCAACTAAAGAAAAACGTCCCAATACAAATAGAATAAACGTGTATTTGAAAACAACAAAAAATAGAAAGCTACCTAGACGTAGTTTTGCTTTACCTTTTTTTTTAACCGTCAAATATAATATATAATCTACTCTTAAACTAACGCCTAAATTCACCTATATCTCCGGTCACCAAGTTTGTTACTAGCCATGATGATGAAAGCAAGGAACAAAAAAACCAAACCGGAACCTTATAATCCTAAGGATCCTTTTTTTTTGCCATGTCTTCAAAACTCCAACTTCGAAGGATTCCTACGACATTATATCTTGTCGTGTGATTCCAATTCTGATTTCGGTTCTGGTTCTAGTTTGATTCTACGCATCGAGTATGTTTGTTGGCTTTGATGATTATTTTTGTGAAATATGATACAAATGGGGTCGAAAAGAAAAAAAAAATCTTCTACCAAGTTTGATTAGAGAATAAGGTTTTGTTGTGATTATTATTATTATTATTATTATTATTATTATTTGGGTTTTCTGGTATATCGGTTTTAGGTTTAAATTTGAAGGGTTAAAAGCATATGACAATTGACTTATCCACGGCTCCTTCATACTCGTTAACGGCTTCTTGCCTACAATTGAATTGTTGTGGGGAATGAGAGTTACAATAGGGCCCAAAGAAATGGAAGGCCCAAAATTTTTATCTTAGGCACTAGGCAGGTTACCGCAGGTAGCCATCGGAGGCGGGAAATGATAAATCAGAAAACCAATTGGGAAGACACGGATTCAAGAAATAAAAACTATTGAAACTTATCGTCATTCTTGGAAGTCTGAAACAAACAAATCAAATGGTTTCCCTCAACCATTAATTTTCTAGTAAGAATTCAAAGTAAGCATTCCAATTCTCATGCTTCAGTGCTTATATTTCGATTTATAATTGGTTTTCCGTCTTCTCAAAGTGTTTTTTAGCATCCTGGGTTATGCACATAAGCTTATTTGATGAAATTCCTGTTAGAACTGTGGATGGTAATGAAATCGGCGTGACCAAACGAGTGCTCATGACCATGACAGAATGGGATTGTTTAAAAGATTCTAAATAAAAAAGAACCTTAGGAAACTTTTGTTATGTAATTGGAGTTCTTCTCTTCAAGTATTTTAGTTAATATTCTATGGTTCTTCATATTTAAAACATTAACTTTTGCAGGAATCAGCATATTAGCTTCTTAACAAAACGAATGTATCTTCACGATGGAAAAGAGGTTTTACTCTATGCAAGTTTGATCGATTCTTCTCCTTTTCCTCACCGGGCTACTTCTACTTTTTTGGCAATGAAAACCGGCATTAATCGCTAAAATTTAGCCACTGGTTTTATGTTTGTCGGGTGAAGAAAACCAACATTTTCTCTTTGCAATCGTTGTGCACACCAACTGTTCGACATATTGCTACATAGACTGTTTCTTCACCAAATATGAGGAGAAGTTCAATCTTACCATTGTTACGTCTGCACCAACCCTTAACATCTTCCTTATATGACAAAATCTGGGACAATTCCTCTTTCACCAAATCAAGTTTTATGTGGATTCAAATCATGCACAAAACCTGTGGAGGAAGAAGACCCAAAAAGAAAATCTACCATAGAGTCCATGAACTAGACAAAGCCATGGACCTCCAAAAGAAACCCAATGTCATCCTAAAGCTCAAATCAATCATCCAATCACAAAAGAACCAATCTTTACTTCTCAGAGACCTCGAAAAAGAAGTGGGATTTATTCAAAAATGGAATTTCATAGCTGTTATTGAAAAATACCCATTAATATTCCACGTCAGCAGTGGTCACAAAACACCACCTGCAGTCTCACTTACCAAAAAAGCCGAAAAGATTGCTTCTGAAGAATCTCTAGCCAATGAACTCATGGAACCCATTTTGGTCAACAATTTGAAGAAACTATTAATGTTGTCAGTTGATTGTAGGTTGCCACTTGAATCCATTGATTTAATTCAACCCGAATTTGGTTTACCTTCTGATTTCAAGAAATCTTTAATCCCAAAATTTCCCGAATTTTTCTCTGTAAAAGAAGTACGCGGGATTCCCCATCTTGAACTTGAAACATGGGATTCCTCCCTTGCGATAACTGCCCGAGAGGAAAGATTGATCCAAGATAGAATTTCGGGCAGTTCCGGGCAGCTGAAACGGGCACGAATTTCAAAAGATGGAAACTTTCATGGCCCTTTTGCTTTTCATTTAAAATTCCCAGTTGGGTTTCGACCAAACATGAGTTATCTTCAAGAACTTGAAAAATGGCAAAAGATGGATTTTCCTTCTCCTTATTTGAATGCAAAAAGATTTGAAGTTTCTGATCCTAAAGCTCGGAAGAGGGTGGTTGGAGTTCTTCATGAGGTTCTTAGTTTGACTATGGAGAAAAGGTTGACTTCTGCACAGCTGGAAGCGTTTCATTCAGAATTGAGATTGCCTGCTAGATTGTTGCTTTGTTTAATTAAGCATCATGGTTTGTTTTACATTACTAATAAAGGTGCAAAGAGTAGTGTTTTTCTTAAAGAAGGTTATGAAGGGTCAAGATTGGTTGATAAATGTCCACTTTTGATGTTTAGGGATAAGTTTGTAGCACTCAGTGGGAGGAGAGATGTTGAACATTCATCATGTGTTGTATGAACATCAATTTAGAAGTTTTTTATAAATATGGTCTTTATGCTTTTATTTATATGACGGTTATTTGATACATGTGACATTTTAATATAGTATACATGTGATAGATATCATGGCATTTTATTCAAACTGATCATAACAATAGGTACATTAGTACAAAATGTATTTGTATAAAGGAATTGTGAAATATGATATTGTTCGTAATTTATGAACATTTGAAACAAAAAGTAGAGTTGCACATAATCGGGCCTAGGCCCGTGATGGCTACTATGGGCCTATGGCTACATGAATGGTCTCTTTTCTCTTTAGTATATAAGGCCATAGATGATTTGAAAACTTAAAAATATTTTACTATATACGGAAAATCAGCATCTTCGTATGTATTGTGATCTTGTAGATATTGTTTAAGATCCTCAACGTGAACTTTATATACAAAACACGTTTCCTTCATGTCCCATTTTGATATTTTTGCGTTATCCTTTTTTATCAGTCTCTTTAACGTTATAATACGCCGTACCTTCTCTCCCGGTAACCGGTCATCCCACCACGTCGTCTTCCTCCAGACTCTTTTCCTCTTTTACTCTCTTCCTTTTTCACAAACCGCGAATCCTTCTTTCTTCTTTCATAGATTCCTCCGCCTCCAAGAATTTCTACATGTCTTGGAGATAAGAGAGAATCAAAGTAAATAGATAACAATGAAGAAGAACTATCCTTGAGTAAATCGAATTCCCCCTGTAGTAATCCATTAACAATGATATGTTATCATCCCCATTTTACGCTTCAATTTCTTCTATTTTTACTCAGTTCTTCCAATAACCCTCGCCTAACTCTCATCGGTGCTAATCACACCTCCGCCCGTTTCTGCTCCCGTTAGTCTCATCCATACCCGACTGAATTCAATCTCTCTCCATGGGCCCTTCCACCGGGAAACGCGGCTTCCTCCGAAACATTGTGGTTCGATTTTTCTTATTCTCGCTTCTCGTCTTCGGCATTCGGTTTGCTTATGTTATCGTTATCCATGGCGAATCGTGCGATATCGGCGATGAATTCTGCTTTTTCTCCTCGTCAAATTTGTTTGAAAATCAAAAACTCGTCACTACTGCCGGTGTCGGACATGCATCTTCTTCCTCGGTTATCCTCCATCCCGCTGCTGCTTCGACGCCGGAGTTTCAGAAACGTGTGATGTTTTATATCACCGTGTTCCAGGATCTCATAGTTGACGGATTTCTTTCGACGAAGTCGAAGGCTCTGTGCGTTGAAACGCCTATCGGTGACGACGTTTACGCTTTGAAAGAGATTGGGGTCGACGACGCAGTCGGGATATACAAGAAAGCGGCGAAGCCGCTTGTGATTAACGGGCTAGGGTTCCGGCAGCCGTTTCACGATAACACGTTTGATTTTATATTCTCCGGCGCCGGTGGGTTTGACAGATCGGAAAAGGCAGCTGAATTCGCCGAAGAAGTTCAACGTACACTTAAACCCGAAGGGTATTTCATTGTTCATACAGCATCTAATGATACGTACAGTTTCAATTCGTTTATTGGTTTATTCAATTGTTGTAAATTCATACGTTCGCGTCATATCGATGGATTCGATTCCAATATGCCTGAAATACACGAAATCGTGATGAAGAAAGTGAACGATATCAAAATCAGGAGAAAAACCGATCAAAATTCAAACAACAAATGCTATGTTAAAGGCTATAAACAAGATTTAGTCAAGAGAGCCGAGCCTTTGATCCCAAAAGAACCATTGAAACCATGGCTGACACTAAAGAGAAACATCCAGAATGTGAAGTATCTCCCTTCCATGGTGGACATCACCTTCAAGCAAAGGTACATCTACATAGACGTTGGTTCTCGCAGCTATGGTTCCAGCATTGCCAGTTGGTTCAAAAAACAGTATCCAAAGCAAAACAAGACATTCGAAATATACGCCATTGAAGCAGATAAGCACTTTCACGATCAATACAAATCAAAAAAAGGTGTCACCTTGTTGCCATACGCTGCATGGGTTAAAAACGAGAGTCTAACCTTTGAAATCAACCAAACTCCAGGCGATGAAAACGTTGAAAAAGGAAGAGGAATGGGTCGGATTCAACCAGTTGAGTCAGGTGGTGGGATTGTGGGGTCCGTTGATGAGATCCAAGGATTTGATTTTGCAGAGTGGTTGAAGAATACGGTGACAGAAAAAGATTTTGTGGTGATGAAGATGGATATTGAAGGGACAGAATTTGATTTGATCCCAAGGTTAATTGAAACTGGTGCTATTTGTTTGATCGATGAGGTTTTTCTTGAATGCCATTACAATCGGTGGCAGAAATGTTGCCCTGGTGTTAGGAGCCCAAAGTATCAAAAAACTTATGGACAATGCTTGGATCTGTTCAAATCCTTGAGACAACGTGGTGTTCTTGTTCATCAATGGTGGTGATTGGTGACTGGTAATTTCATATACTCTAATACTCTTTTTTTCCTTGTTATTATACATGAAAATATGAAATGTTGTACGTGTAGATCTTTTTCCTCCTCATTTAGATTTGCCTTGTAAGAATGCACATTTTATTTGATCATATTATGTTTATATCTTTGATAGTTATGATATGATTCTTGATTTTTCACTGATTATGGGCAAGGTTTTGTGAGAGATTGAACAAAGATTTTGTAGGGGATTTGGAATGACCTACATGATTAAATGAAGCATATGATGTTTGTCTTAAAGAATGTAGGTATAGCTGTAGATGTTCTGGAATGGTCCCATGTATTATTTATGACCCTTTTTAATAACTTAGCCACAAAATTCAAAGTGGCATATGCTTAATGCTTTATATGGTTTTTAGTTGGGAAAGCTAAAGCAAAAGTCATGCAACTAGGCGTTGCATCTTGTGATTGTCTTTCAAGTTAATTTAGCTATGTGTGTGTATACGTATTCCATACACATACCATACAATTTGTTGATCAACTTTTATTATGTAATAAGTAATATACAAGCAACTAAAATATATAACAACTCACAAACATACTATGTCTATATATTATATTACATTCAAGATTTTATCACATCACATCATGGAATATGGATTAGTCTTCATGATCCCATACATCTGCTACACTCCGAAATGGTCCATCGTTCTTGTTCACAAACAAATCTTCACCATGCAAAACTCGCTTCTGCTTATAGTTTTATAATAATTTTATAATAATATCACTATAAAAATCAAAGAAAAAAAAAAGTAAATCACTACACAAAACCTGATCCGAGATGCTGCTAAGAACATTGAAATCCTGTTCAGGAATTGTCCAATCGAACACCTGCATGTTTTCCTTGATCCTATCTGCGTTCGTTGATTTTGGTATCACACTTGTTCCTCTTTGAATCGCCCATCTCACAAGCACTTGCCCTGGGCTCTTGTTTAACTTCCCTGCTATCTTCTCCACCGTTGGATCATGGATCAGATCTCGCCCGTTGTCTTGTGAACCCAATGGGGAGTATGCCTACAACATATCATGAAATGAGATATTGCTGATGATTGAAAAGAGAAAATAAAAACGAAAGGTTGTTTTATGTTACAGTGACATGGATTCCATTCTTCTTGCATGCTTCCAGCATTTTGTCATTCCTCCATCCTGGATGCATCTCCATCTAAAAGATTTGAAGAAAGTTGAAGCTCAGAAGATGAATGAAGAACTC